TCATTTTCGAGATTTGAATATGAGACTTCTTACTTATAAGTAATGATAAATACCTCTAAACTGTAGTAGTGAGTTTCAATTGTTAAACTATGAGATTAATAGCTCAACAGAAGAAGAATTACAAAATAATGTCTGGAGCTTGAAACATGCCTACAATACAAGCCATTAGGAATTGCTTATAAAAAGAATGAGTTTGGTCAAACTCAAAATGGACGGGACTAAAGAGTATAAGAGAAGGTTAAGTTGGCCACTTCATAGACAACAAAATTTATTTCAAGACGGAATATGTTGGGTACTACAATTCTAGTCACATTATAAATATATATATATATATATATATATATAATATCAATATTATTTGTAGTTTGATATAAACATTTAGACAATCAAAATTTGTTGTTCAGTCAAATTGAGCAAAAGAGATAAATTAGGGCCCAAATTTGAAAATTTCAGAAAGATGATGACAAAGGCTCACTCCTTACTTAGGGTGAAAAGGTAGAGTAAGATATTGTTAGCTGGTGAAACAGAGTATCAAAGAGTGAAGCCGGTGAAAGAGAGTTTCAAAGAGTGAAGGAGGAACTATTTTGTGATTCATATGTGTAATCCTAGCTTAGGAGTCACACTAATTTTCTTTGTATTGTTCTAATTTTATGAGATGCCATGAAAGATATGTCATGGCGGGTTGCTCGCAGCGAATTTAAGAGAACATTGATGCTCGAGCGATGAAGATCTTGGTTGTAAAATTGGGCTCTCATTTGCTAGGAAGTTCATGTTTCAATTTCTTTTCGAGGGAGACACAAAAGGGATGATTGATTAATTACGTTCTTTATCTAAATCCAACTCAAAGCAGCATGATGGTGTGACCAATGCTCACATTTTTGGTAGTGGTAATTCATAATTTTAAGATACAATCCAATTGTAATATGGAAAAATTCCAATTATGGTATTTTGGATGTTGGAATCGGAACATTCAGTTCACTACAACGACACCGTTAATTATATAAGACAAAGATAAGGATTAAAGTTTCCAGGTTCTTCTTTGTCATGGTAGGATCTGCAAATCATGGCTGCCATATTGCAAAATCCATCAAAAAAATTCTCAACAAAACTCACGTATGACATATCATCTTAGTATGTTCTCGTAGTGAGCATCAATACGAACTCGTGATTGTAAGCATAACAAAATTTCAGAATTAAAATGAAGATTCCACGGAACTATAAAGTTTAATGATAGTATGATAATTTTGTATTACCATGGCTGATTACCTTATGCTGCCAGATTACCTTTATTTTTCATTTCTATTTCGAATTATTTTATTTCTTTTCCTTTTAATTTTCTCTTTTTATTTAGATGTGTATTATAAGTGGCAAAAAATTAATGTATTCTTCTTTATCTGTAATTTGTAAATGAGAGATTTTATGTTCAATTATCATTAAAGACGAATTTGAACTATATTACTTCTAGTCATTATTAGCATCAAAACATGTTTCGTCGCATCTCACGTACCAAACGCACTTTTAGTGATAAATAATAGCGTGTAGTCCATAAAATAAATGTATAAAAGAATTAATATAAAAAAAGTGGGAGAAACCAATTTTCTCTCCTCCTCCGGTATCCTTTCTCCTCTTTTGCGCTGCAACAGAAGCGCCATTAAACAGCAAGCCGACGACTGCCGAGTGCCGACGCAAAAGCTCTGTCGTCCACGGGTCACCAAAGGCTCTCAAACTACACATCCAGGATGCTCTTGCCGTCCTTCATCCAATCCCCAAGTTAGTTTCTATAAATTCGTAGGCGATTTTCCTCAATTTCTAATTTAAGAAACGGTGACCAAAACCGGCCAACTTCCGGCCAATATCACCGGAATTGGACCTCGACCCAAGAGGTAGAAATGATCCTCTTCTCGTGGGCTGTTCTCCAATGTAAGTTCTTTTTCCAAATTTTCAACTTTCAGTTTTGGGATTGATTCTTGATTTCGAATTTTATTCGATTTTGTGTGTGAATGTCGGAGATGAGACTTATGTTAATTATTGTATCTGTGAAGCTGTTGAAACCCCTAATGATTACGTTCTCGGTTGAAGCATGTCTATAACATGGTGTAGGCTTGAACTCTGTAGAACCTTGTATTGTTGTGAATAGGAATTATAAAATTCATAGGAATTTTATAATTCATTGGAACACTTTTGCATAGGAATTATAAAATTCATGGAAAGAATGTGAAAATGTGGTACGGAATTAGAAAATGGGGGCCAAAATCATGTTATGATGAAGGCAATAGTTAGCCTGATTCCTTGTTTACTGTAGTTGTCCACTAGATGTTTAAGACTTAATGTGGAGGAAATTCTCTCTTGAAGTTGCTTGAACTTACGTATTTGGTAGACAAGGCTCCTCATGGGAGAGCTAGCCTGAGGTGTGAGTGGACATTTATTTAAGAAATGTTTTTTCTTTATCAAATATTAAGCATGCCTAGATAAATATGATTTCCGTTATATTTAGGGGAAAATCAGATTTTATGAATTAATATCAGATCTTATAGTGAATGATCATATTATTCAGCTTACATTAGTTGTGGCCGGCTAGTGTATCATAATATTATTTAGCTTACATGTGTATGATCAATATTACATGTGTCATTCTACATACATGTCATTCATCTTTTACGTGTATGGTATTACAGAACTTTTAGCATTATAAATTGAAATGCAAATATTGGTAGCTAGAGACAACTTTTCCAAATTATCATAACAAATAAGCAAACTCTAATTTAGAAACAAACAGTTATAATCACAATCGAAATTTATAATACATAAAATAAGCAACATAAATAGTATTTTTGGAATGAAATTCTGGTGCAACAAATGACCTTTTATTGGCTTGTACATATGATATGGTAAACGAATTGCTGAAGCCACAACGTTCTGTAAACTCTTGTCCTGCATGCATTGGAGAATATTAGAAATCACTGAAGTTGGAATAAGTTGAAATGGTAATGCTTATTGTATATGTGTTTCAGAAAATAGCGGTTTAAGGACAAAATTAATTTTCAAGTCACTTAGCACTACAGTTAGTTCATGGATTTTAGAGGTGCTAAAGATCTGTATTCGGGTTTTCTTTATGGGCGAGAAACCTAATACTCTCACCTATAAATATAAGACTTAGGTCCCACTTTTATACACATTATTCTAGCACAAAACACTACCCCATATAGGAGTGCATAAGGCGTGTAGAGAGAGATGAAGATCTTTGCTTGTTCGTTGCTGATCATGGTTCAATCTTGTTCATATCAATGGCTTCTCAAGGTTAGTACTTGCATATTATAGATTGACTTGCATTGGGTACCTCAAAAAAATCAATTAGGTAGCAGAATGTGGTTTGACGATCCTTATTTTTCAATTTTTTTAAGTACTATCCATGTATGTATATATTCTATAAAACATGGTAGAATAATTTTTTGAGTACTTTATAGATAATTTCATCAGTTTTTACTAAACCCAGAGGAAGTTGGAGATGGAAACATGCTAACCTTTGTTCTTGATCAATCAATTGTGTTAGACATCTTCATCCACCACATAGAATTCGTCATCTTCATTTTCATCGTCAAACCACATAGAATTCGTCATCTTCATTTTAATCGTCACTGTACAATTTGTCATCGTTATCCTTCATGTTTTAGAAATAAAAGACATGTTTTCTTGAGATAGTATTGAGTTTTAAAAAATAAAATTACTTAAATACACTTTAGTGTGAACATATGCACATTTATATGGTATTTAACTAAATTTTGAGAAATCTTTTGTCAAACTAAATATGAACTGTTGATTATGCTTTCCCTAAATTTGTAGTAAAAATTTTGGTGGTGTTTGCCATATTATGCTTGTAGCTCAAAACCAGAACGTATATGTTGGTTGAATAAATAGAAATTTAAGATTGAGCATATATAGCTCACTGACTGTAAATTATCAACCTAGCTATTCTTCGGTCCTTCGTAAAAACATTAAGGATCGAAAGAGTTGGAACAAACAACTTGAAGCATTACTGTTTAGGAGAAAATCTTTGTTGGTTTAGTGGTTGTATATTGATGATGCGGTCTTCCAGGTGGACACAAAAGTGATTGCAAATTAGAAACATTAATCTAAAGCATACCTTGTCCATTTCTGTCGAAATGCGGGTTTTACTTGCAATCGGGGATTATGCGTGTCAACAAGCTTAGAATCAAATGGCCTTAAGTCTTGCACATTAATAACCCTCAATAAGTCCAAAGACGGCAACTTCAAAGTATAAGCTTCACCACAAAAATACTTGAGTTTTGGCAAACTTTCAAGCCTGATAACCTTCACTTTAGGTAATGTAATTATTTCAGCTGTTTCTTCTTCTGCGGCAACGATTTCTTCCATCTGCTCGCAGTTCGTAACTTCTATGTACTCTACACTCGCAAGAAGTTTGACTATGGACGAAGAAAACAAGTATTTCAACTGGTTGCAACTATAGACCCGCAGCAATTTCAAGTTTCCGAAACTGCTTCCTGTGAACATTGGTTGTGAACTACCTGTCTCCCAAACACACATTAAACTTGGCAACCTAACTAACCCCAAGTAGCTCAATTTTTTGAATGCTTCAACGGAGTGACTACTTTCTTCATGCTCCGGTCCCTTGAGTTGGAAAATCACTTCCATTGAATTACAGCCAAGTACAATAAGATCTTCGAGATTATCATCATCATTTGAGTCCTCCAGATTAGTTGGTGTAACCTAGAAAATTAAACACGATCAACAAGATGATACAATACTAATTAAAAGTTGTAATTATAGAGGTTAATTGAACCTGAATTAAAAGCTTACCTCCTGATTAATTGGACGTGGCAATATTTCAATGGGGCGTTGGGCGTTTGGTCTTGAATATGGTATGCATCCACATCCATCAGGGCACCAATTTGATGAACGTGTTGGAGAGGTGCTGAAATCATGACTTGTTGAATCCTTCTCAGACTTATTCTCCAACTTCTTTCTTTGTGGAATTACAGCACCCAATGTCTTCAATTTGTGACATTCTTCTACGCGCATATTTTTTGTGGATGACCATTGAAATGTAGATCCCGCTGGACAAAGACTTGTGAGACGAGGCAGGTATTGTAGTGCAAATGTGTTCAGTTTCGGAAACAAAATCATGTCTTTTGTCGCCTCTTCTTCATTTTCCTCTGTGATTCTGACTATAGTTTCCATGTCCCGACATCCACCTATCTTTACCTCTTCAAGATTCAAAAGTTCCGAGGCAATTAAATGCGAGAACACATATTCTAGACCATAACAACGTCTCAATTCCAAATATCTCAAATTTTGGAAGCCCTGGAATCCAGACGGAATGTTTTTCCACAAGTGTGTAAACGAACATTCGGATATCTTCAACTTACGTAATTGGGGACATGTTGGAGATGTCTGCCCATCCATAACTATATGGATTTTCAGATCAAATAGCACGCCTTCAAACTCCATATCACTCAATTCTACCTCTTCTAAACTTGGAAACCATGAAATGCACTTTGATGGAAATATTGCTTTTTCAAATATTCCTGCAGATTGATGCTCAATCCTTGGCGTTGTTTCCTGAAAAAGAAAAATCATTATCGGTTAAACAATTTCAAATTTCCACATATCGGCTGCCTCCTCATATCATAGAGATTGGAGAGTGGGACATACCTCTTGGTTGGAGTATAGCTTGTTGGCTTGGAAGAAACCAACCAAACTCGGTAGATGACAGAGACTCAATTTGGTTAATTTATTGAAAGATATTATATCGGCTTCATTCTCATGTTCCCTCCCCTGCTTCGACACAATTTCTTCCATTTGATCACAGTCACCAATATCTAATTCCTCGAGTTGTACTAAGTTTCTCGCTGCTGATAGTGAAAAGGCATATTTTAAGACATCACAATTGAACAATCGAAGGAATCTTAGGTTGGTCAAAAAGCTATTCGGAAGTTGACTAGCTGATTGTATGTGAGGAAATGGTGTCTGCTGGGTCACACTTGTTCCATTTGCAAGATACTCAGTATTTGGACAATGCTCAAGAGTCAAATATTTCAAATCTTGAAATCCCTCTTGGTCTAAATCAGTAAGGACAGAGAAATTCTTAACTTTGCACAAAAACAATTTTTCAGATTTTTTCAACAAGAGCCTAACTGCTTGACTCTCCAACTCCCTTGCATCACCTTCATCAATAATTAGTGAGTTTCTGAATGCATAAGTTGTCATCTCCCAAAACATCTCCGAAAACATCTCCGAAAGCATCTTGGTACTTCCAATAGCGAATTTTATTGTTGGGCTTTTCAAGACTACGTCTTTTGGCAACAAGTGGATGAAATTGGGGGGTAATTCTATGGATAGAACCTTCAAATGATGAGACAGAGACATCACCTCAGAAATGCTTGCCATCCTCTTATCTTCTCTTCCTGTTCCAAGGTCCCATTTATCAAAGCTACCCATCATATACAACTCTTCAAGTCTACATAAGCTGGAGAAGATACCATGTGGAATCACCTTAAGATTCTTGCAGTTTGTCGTATCTAACAACCTCAACTGTTTAAGTCGTCCAATTTCGCTTGGCAACTCATGCATGTAATAACAATCTCGAAAGCTGAGTATTTCTAAATTCTCCAAAGGCCCAATAACATCAGTAGACATGCCAACAAAGTCAGACTCATCTAGGATCAAGGTCCGCAGGTTCTTCAGTACTCCTGGTGATCTTGATGAGCCTAGGTCTTCCATTGCCATTCCCACCAAAGCTAAAACCTTCAGTTCTTTCATCGCATCACAAATGATGTCCAATCTACCTTTTGAAAAACGTCCATTCATCGTCTGTAGAAGCTTAAGTTTTGGGCAACCAACTGGAATCTCCAGATTGCCAACTAGTGAGATTGTGTCATATGTAGCTAAATTTGGCCACTCTTTATTTTCAGCATGACTTCTTACCAGAAATCGATGTGGATCTCTAGAAGCAATCGATATGGCAACATCGCGAACTATGTCATGCATTTTTGTAGTCTCACTCCTGCCACCATCTAGTAACAAAAACCTTCTTTTTAGTTGGTCAACCAAAGAATGCACTCTATTTCTTGCATCTTCCAAAGTAACGATGCTGCTAAAATATCCTCGACCCCACCCATATCGAACCAAATACTCAATTCGAATATTATAATCTTCTGGAAATAAACAACAAAGTAAAAGGCATGACCTTGCTTCATCACTCTCCAAGCCATCAAAACTCAATTTTATGCTAGAATAAACTTTGCTGTCCACTCCAGGGATGTTCACTGGGTTAGAATTTCGCAGCTGATTAAGGGCATCTTCCCATGCATGCTTCTTTTTGTTTTCTAGGGCTTTTCCAACAGTAACAATAGCAATAGGTAAACCTCCACATTCCTTCACAACATCTTTTGGAGTGGAATGTAAATCAGGATCATCGAAGGATTCACCTACCATTTCTCTAAAGAGCTCCTGTGATTCTTCTGTTGTTAAAGTCCGGACTTCAATAATTTGTTGACTTCTCATCTCGTTGCAGACTTCCAAATTCCGTGATGTCAACAAAATTTTGCACCCTTTATTAGTATGTTCGTAAGGAAGTCCTATAGCCTTAAAATCAAGCTCTGTCCATACATCATCTAATACAATCAGGATCCTTTTTATTTCCGTGAGTCTCCCATATAGCTTTAGTGCTCTTACAGACTCGGGATCCTCATCAAGTTTCAAACCTATTTGGCCTGCAATTTCCGACTGGATCGTCTTAACACTTGGACTTTGAGACACAGTTGCCATTACGATTTCGTCAAACAGGTTCAGTTCTGCCAATCTTGTGATGATTTCTTTCACCATTGTGGTTTTACCCACACCTCCCATTCCACAGATCCCGATCAGTCTTACTTCTTCCCTCTTCAAACCCTCTATCACCTCATTGATCTTTGCCATTCTGGACTTAAAATCTTTAAAACCTTCTTTGAATGTTGACCATATCTTTCGTGGAGGTGCAGGATGGGCCACATTTTCAAACGTTCCTTTGTTTTGGAGCTGAAGAACATGCTGTGTAATCTTATAGGCTTTCCGACTCAAGCTCCATCGATACACACATCGCCTTTTCTTGTTAATTTCATCCTCAAACTGCAACACTTTTTTGACCATGTCGTCGTTCACATTCTTTAGCCAACCCTGAACATCAGGTTTGATGGTTTGACCGTTCCTTTTGGCAGCATCTACCAAACCCTGCACTCCATCTTTCTTGCGACAAAGGTCTTCTATCTCACGCTGAAGACTTGCAAGGTTGGAATGGTAATTAACCAAATAGCCACACTCCCTTCCTATTGGTGTGACCAAGCACTCTCCAATTTTTGAGGCAATTGAAATTAGAAAGTCCGCTGCCATTTCCTTCTGTAATCAAAGACAGCGGCTGGAATGCTCCTCTTTGTTGGTAGCTTCTGGAAGTCTCGTGCTCAGTGCTCGCCTAAAACAAAACAAGCAATACAACATTAATAATCAGATATTTTTGTCATGTTTAAATCTAGGTTGTATTTTTATTTTATGAAAAAAAAAAATTTTCTGTGCTGATGCTTTGATAGCATTTGACTATAAGATCATCATTATATTTAAAGAGTTAATCTTATTTTACTACTTGAAATTTTTTTGTTTTCAACATTTCATACATTAAGTTTTTTTGTCTCAATTTGGTACCTAAAATTATAATTATAATTCTAAGATGTTTTCATATATTCGTTAAGTTTTCCACTATAATCTATTTTAATTGATGGCATAGTGTCTATGTGAATAATAACTGAAAATCACGTGTCAATATAGGTCCAAGTGAATATTAAAAAATATAGAAATAAAAAAATTACTAATAAAAAATTTAAAAAAAAAATCGCAAACCCTATGCTACAATTTAGCAATAATTATTTATGATTTAAAATATTTTTTTTCTAAAATAGTTTAAAATATTTTTAAATCCTCCAAAATCAAACGTACCGAAATAAGTTTTTCTTTTAGTATGTTAAGAGAAAATAGGCTTGAGAATAATATAAAAGTACCAATACACAGTGTGTACAAAATAAAACGTACCAAAATAAAAATAATGTACCAATATTAACAATATGTATCAAATCAGACATACCAAAATTGCAAATAAACGTACCAATTAATAATTTTTGTAAATTCAAACGTACTTGCAAGTAATATATATGTAATGTATTGTACATAATAATAATTCGTCAACAACTATACTTAAAAAAATATATATTTATATATATATATATAATTTCACAAAAAAATTGAAAAATTACTTTTATATTGATCACCAACTATTTGAAAATGAAAAAAAAAACCATTTACAAAAAGAAATAATATTAAATGTTTGCATAACAAAAAACAAAAAAAGTGATCGAAAAAACATATTTGGAAGAAGAGAAAATATAGTTTAATTAATAATATCTCCACTAAATAAGGAAAAGTGCATCATGCAGATAAAATGATAAATTCAAAAATTATTTTAATTTTAAAAAATAGAGATGGCTATTGGTCAAAGTACTTTAATCAAATTTTAAAAAAGCACTGATGTTTAATCTGCTATTCACACACCCCATTTTATCTCTCACACACCTTTGTTAAATTTTTGTTCATTGATCTTCTTCAATTCATTCTATCCAACGGCCCGAAATTGAGAAGGGTGTGTGAGAGATAAAAATGGGTGTGTAGATAGCACCACCCTTAATCTAAATAATATAGAAAAACTGTAGAGAATTCTAATTTTCCCTTCTTTTTTTTTAGGGTATCAAGTATCTATGCCTTGTAGGATTTTGATTAAAGCACTTACGTGCATTAGACCGCATCATGCATCTCTCCATTTATCAAATTAAAAATTATTATTGTGATCTTCAAAATTAAAATTTTGTATATTGGTTTGTTAATTTGGCCTTTAATTAGTTAAGCGAAATTTTTTTTTTTTTGAGATAATCTTGGTTTTTATTCAAAATATTTATCCAATTATCTCTTTTTTATAATTTTTCCGCACAAAATATTTTTTCTCCTAAACTTTACCTTCAAGATAACAAAAATAGTGGATGTTTATATATTTTTTTAAATTATTATGTATACATTTTATTGAGAGAACTATTTTGTATACATTATTGGTAGGTTTATTATTGGTTTTCATACTTAATTTTGTTCATATTATCTACTGGTATGTGTAGTTTTAATTTTTGGTACATTTAGGTGTGTACTTATCATTGATTGTTATGTTTAGTTTTAGTATTTGGTACAATTTATTTTAGTTAACGGTACGTTTGATTTTAGTTTTTAGTACGCTTAATTTAATTTTTGGTACATATCATTGATTGATAACTTAATAATTATGTCTCTTTATTTAGGAGTAATAATAATAATAATAATAATAATAATTTTGGTTTAAAGAAGGCTAGATTTAGGAGCTTTGGGTGTTGTTTCTGGAATAAATTGGTGGATTAATGATAGTTCATGTAATTTTGAATTTTAAAAAAAAGGACATTTTAATAAACGTGCCACCAAAATTGTAGAAAGTAGTTTAATAAAAAGTCTAAAAGCTAGGAATGTTGGGTCTATCAAATTCAAAAAGGAACTACCTAGATCAAAATTATCTTTTAAAATAAGATCATCACGGTGTAAAATATTTAAATTTGTATTTATTTATTGTGTTTCTGAACTTGAATTATTTGAAATTGTTGTTGATACATAGGATTCTTTATAAATAGACTCTTGTAATTCTATTTTTTAAACAAAAATCCACCTATATTTAAATATCAAATTGAAACACACCTTTTCTGATTGAAAGTAGCAAGCAACTCCAGTACTGGTACAGAGGCCAGGTGGAAGGTTGTTTTGTCCTGTTGTCCTTTACTTGCTTACTGGCTTCTGTTTAAGGGCATTTGAAATTGTCTGTTTCGGTATTAACTCTTGTAAACGGAATCTAAATCCATTGACATGTAGACAAAGAAAATAAACTCTTATTACAAACTATTTACATCCTATGCCAAAACATCTTAATTATATCAACAAACTTTACTAATACCTACAGTAATGATGAAATCCTAAATTTCATCTAGTTTCTTTCCTTATTTTGGCAAGCATTTTAGTTTTATAGGATATAATTGAAACAATATACATATATATATATATACACACACACACATACATATATATATATTCTCCTTTTTATTATTATATAATGATAATCTTCATAAAAATAAAATCCAGGTTAACAAAATAAAACTACACATGTAGTGGGTAGTTTTTTCTTTTAATTTTTAAAAAATAAAATATAAAAAATATTTGAACAAAAAAAATAATAAAATTACAAATAAAAATAACATCTAAAAGTGCAAATTGCCAAACGCGCTAGTGTGTGGTAAAGGGATAGTATCTATATATGTGAAATATAGGTAAATTAAACCTTGAACCAAATCATGTCCTTTATCTTCAAGTAGGTACTTTAATCTAAGTAAAATAATTTACCTATATCTACCTGTGAAATATAGGTAAACTAAATTACATCCTTTATGTTCAAGGTAAATGGTTTTGCATTTATTATTACATACATTAAGCACATTTTAGTTTTATTGTACATTCAAGAAGGTGCTCAAATGCCTAAAACCAAAGAAGCAATGTCCCAACACAGCATTCACAATCAAATATTTTTGTCCTGTTTAAATCTAAGTTGTATTTTATTTTCTTTCTTATTTTATCAAAGGAGGAGTTAGGATAGTATAAACTTACGTGGCAAATGAACTATTACATGTATTTTTATTTCAATTCTTTAGCATTATATTATTACAAAAGTATTCAATATTGAGCGAGATTGCGTGATATATATATTGTATCGAGAAGGCCGTTTTGTGAGATATTCTATAATATTACAATATCCCCAATATTGTATGATACTTACATGATATGATAAGCAACGTGATATATTGAGGTTTTTTTAGTTTTTTTTAATTTCTTTATGTTTTTTGTTTTATTGTTTTTTCATTCATCCTCATCCCGTTATCATAGGCCCCACACCTCCTCCAGGTTTTTTTTTTCAATTTTTTTCCAGCAGCTCTCATGGTTCGTTTCAGATTTCAAGCCTCCTTTCTCTATCACCCACTGTTTTTGACAGTTTTTCAGCCCAGCGAGATAACTTATCAAATTTTTTTTTTTTTTCAATTTTTTCTCTGTCTTTATCTTTTGTTTGAGTTTTGTGTTGATCTTTGTTAGTTTTCCTCTATAACTCATACCTTAAGGCTTAAGCATCACTTAGCTCAAACCCGTAAAGATATGAAGCCTTGCTACAAAGTCCGACGTGTGCTTAGCATTTGAATATAACTTAATTAGATTTAAACGCTTAAAATTTAAAGATTTTTTGTTTATTTTTTATATAACATATGTGCCTTTTAGGATTTTGATCAAAGAACTTATGTACATTAGGTCACATCAATATTTCTCTATTTATCAAATTAAAAATTATTACTGTAATTTTTGAAATTAAAATTTCATATTTTTTTTTTTTTGAACAAACGATATTATTTATACTAAAGGGAGAGGAGGGAGTGGGCTTAGCCTTACAATAGGCTAGCAATAATGTGATTCAAATTCACCTTTGGTGAGAATTGAACCTAAGACTTCTCACTTACAAGTGAAGAGGAATGTCACTGGACTGTAGTACTAAGTGGCAAATTTCATATCTCTTAATTTGTCCTTTAATTAGTTGAGCCATTTTTTAGGAGATAATCTTGGTTTTTCGTGCAAAATATTTATCAAATTATCTCTTTGTATAATTTGTTCGTAAAAAAAATATATTTTTTCTCCTAAAATTAAAATATAATTTTAACTTCAAGATAACGAAAATGGTGGATAATTAAAATTTTAAATTATTATGTCTACATTTTATTGAGAGAATTATTTTGTATACATTATTGATATGTTTATTATTTGTTTTCATACTTGATTTTGTTCATATTATCGACTGGTTCGTTTAGTTTTAATTTTTGGTACGTTTAGTTTTGTATATATCGTTGATTGACACGTTTAGTTTTAGTGTTGGTACGTTTAATTCTAGTTTACAGTATATTTGATTTTAGTTTTGGTACATTTAATTTTAATTTTTTGGTACATATCATTGATTGATAACTTAATAATATGTCTCTTTGTTTTGGATTTGGTTTATAGATGGCTAGATTTAGGAGCTTTAAATATTATTTTTTGAATAAATTGGTGGATTAATGGCACTTCATGTAATTTTGAATTTTGGAAGGAGGACATTTTAGAAAAAATGGCACCAAAATTGTAGAAAGTAGTTTAATAAAAAGTCTAAATGCTAGGGATGTTGCACCTGGTTCAAAATTCCCCTTACTTGTATATAGCTATATATGTGAAATAATTGTAAATTAAATCTTGAACCAAATCACATTTTTTATCTTTAAGTAGGTACTTTAATCTACATAAAATAATTTACCTATACCCATATGTGAAATATAGGTAAAATAAATCTTGAACCAAATCACATCCTTTATGTTGTAGGTAATTATTTTGCATTTATTATTACATACATTAAGCACATTTTATTGTTATTATATATATATATATATATGTAGTAAAATAATTTACCTATATTTATATAGAATATAATTAAATAATTTTGAAAAAAAAAAAATTACATTCTTATATTTTGTTGGTAACTAATGCTCACATATTTTGAAAACGGAAAAACTAAACCACAAAAAATCCAAATTTATGCAAATTTGAAAAGCAACTAAGGAATTTAAAAAGGAAAAAAATAAAACAAATGAAAACCCTAGCATCATATCCTTTTATTATTAATATGCAATGAAATCATGATATTAACATTTGTTTTCAAGCTGTCATAAGGGTATTTTAGGCATCTAAAAGTACAAAACCGTGTGAAGTCAAACCTAATCAATAAAATTGTTGAGCTGGAGCCTAGTTATAGTGTTGGAGCTCAGTTGAAATACAATATTCGGCAGGCACTAGAATGTAAAACTCACACTCTTGTTTTTTAGATCAGGCAAGGTAAAAACAAACACCTAAAACAACAAATATTGGAAAGAAATAGAGTTTTTAAGAAGTACGTGCGTACCTGTATCGTAAATCAACGCAATGCAACTATGCGGCAGAGTAAAAGTAAAATTATGAAATATATGCCTTTGTTCAGCAACAAATCATAAGTCTGGTACTGGTAGTGGTGCTTCACGAATTTGCTAGAAAATTTGAATGTTGAATGCTAGCATGCACAAGGAGGGCAGATTATGCACATCAATGCAAATATATGAGTAGATAACTTCAATGTGGAAGAGTTAATAAGAGCTTTCTAACAATATAGGCAGGAGAAGCAATAAAATATATATGTTAAGTCGTCGAGTTTTTGTTAAGAAAATATACTATGATGAGTTTTAGTTAAAGAAAATTGAATTTTAAGGTGGTAAAGTTAAATGTGATGGTTTCAGTGCATGTGTATATTTATTTACTCATTATTATTTTATAGTATGCAAATTTCAAATAATTTACATTTCACCACCACATAGCAAACGCTATTTCAAACTTTTTGTACTACGATGAGAAAATTAAATATTTGATTATAAGGGGGAGTTAGCTCAATTTCAGTTGACGTCGATGGACATCAAAACACAATAACATATAGTGAAAAACACCTAAACAACAAATATTCAAAAGAAATGGAGTTTCTAAGAAGCACATACATACCTGTATCGTAAATTAACCCAATGCAACTGTCTGGTAGAGAAAAAAAATGAAATTCTGAAGTCTATGCCTTGTTCAGCAACAATATGTACTGGACCTGGTGCTTCACGGATTTGCTAGAAAATATAATGCAAAACCAACACTTTTGTTTCTTGGTCACACAGGGGTAAAAATGAACACTTAACACAACAAATATTGAAAAGAAAGAGTTTCGAAGATGCATATATGTACCTGTATTGTAAATCAATCCAATGCAATTGTCCGACATAACAAAAGTTCTTAAATCTATGCCTTATTCAGCAACAACTCATGTATCTGCACTAGTACAAAAAACACTTTGCGCGACGCAGGTCCTTCGTCGCGCAAAGTCAAAAACCGTCGCGCAAAACTTAGCTCAACGTACCTTCGTCGCGCACTAACCGTCGCGGCAAGGCAGTGACAGAAGGGGTTTGCGCCACGAAGATTCCCCCTACGTGGCGCAAAGTGGCTTTGCGCGACGTAGAAGGATGCGTCGCGCAAAGTGGCTTAGCGCGACGTAGGGGGATGCGTCGCGCATAGTGGCTTCGCGCGACGTAGTAATACGTCGCTCAAAGTATCTTTGCGCGACGCATCCCCTACGTCGCGCAAACACTTTGTGCGACGAAGATTCTACATACGTCGCGCCAACCTCTTTGCGCGACGCACGCTTTTACGTTGCGCGAAGTGGCTTAGCGCGACGTAGGGGGATGCGTCGCGCAGAGTGGCTTCGCGCGACGTAGTAATACATCGCTCAAAGTGTCTTTGCGCGACGCATCCCCTACGTCGCGCAAACACTTTGTGCGACGAAGATTCTACATACGTCACGCCAACCTCTTTGCGCGACGCACGCTTTTACGTTGCGTGAAGTGGCTTTGCGCGACGTATGGTTGTGCGTCGCGCAAAGCCACTTTGGGTGACGTAGAGTCTTGTGTCGCGCAAAGAGGTTGGCGCGACGAAGATTCTACCTACGTCGCGCAAACCTCTTTTTTTTGTTTTGGTCAAAAAAAATATTTTTTAAATTTTTAATAAATATCTTAATTAAACTCTAAACGATAATTAATTAACCAACGAAAAGTATTTAGTTATAAATATATGAAAATATACATACAAAATGTCCAAACAAAAAAATAAGAAAAAACTACAAGTAGTCTTTTAGGTTTGATACATCAAGCTACTAGGTATCGGTAGGGGAAAGTGGCTCAGAAGTCGAAGGTGTAGGAAGATCAGGTACTGGTAGTGAGATTTGGAGGCCAGACATCTGTATGGCTCGTACAAGGTCTCTCATGTGTCCGGCATAGGCCTTCACCTGCTCGCCCTGGGCCTTAATCTGCTCGCCCTGGGCCCTCATCTGCTTGTCCCGGGCCCTCATTTGCTCACTCTGGACCGCAAGTTGACCCTTTAGGGTTGTCACTTCCTCCTTCAATGCACTGACCTCTCCTGTGTTTGATTTGGAAGAAGAGGCACCCGTCTCACGAACTCGCGCTTTTCCCATACCCCGAACAACTTTGCCAGGACGACGACCGAAGTTTTGATCCATGACATTAGTCAGGATCTGAAAACCTGCATCCTCGGGTATCGTGGCGTCCTCGATCAAGGTCTCCGGGGGAAGTTGTGATGTTGCTTCTTGGAGAACAGTAGTGCGCTGTTCCACCATAGCATCCTGTAATAATAAAGGAAAAAACATATAATGTTTAATAACATAATATAAATAATATTTGAACGATTCATACATATAAGAATAATAACAATTACATATACTTACATGAAGCTGCTTAGCCATCTCATCACCAGGTCGAACGTAAACGTCCTCGAACATGTCGATCTCTGGGAACTTAGAACCCTCCTGAAGAAACAAACATTAAGAAAATTTTATTAATAAATAATAATAAATAAATTGTATAAAATTTCAAAATTAATATACTTTTACCTGACGTCGTGCCTCAATCCTATACGAAAAGGGCTTCGAACCAGAATGGTGGAGAAGTGTCTTTGAGTCCCGAGCTATCTTGCCAGCAATAGATTTCTTCTGTTAAACACACAATATACATGTTAGTGCGATTATTTAAAATAAATTAATAAAGGAAGCTTAAAAAAATAACTAAAACAATAATAATTTATTATTAAAATATTATGTACATACCACAAATTTTGGGTCCGTAAAATGTTTGCAGAGCCACTCCCAATCCTCCGGCCGGTCCTGCAGCTCGGTTGGGCAACCACGTAGGCGAGCAAACTCCGGATCATCCCATCGCTTAAAATGCGTGTGAAGATAGTTCTTCCAATGTTTGTACCGATTTGCTAAGGTATCCTCTAAGTAGGCCATGACCTCAGGGGATATGTCGTCAAGATCAAAATTGGCCTACGAATATGAAAAATAATAAAATAATAGTAAGAAATTTAATAATATTAAGATAATATATTTTGGTTTTAAATATTTGTAAACAAAATTAAAAAAATGATAAAGGCTAAAAATTAATATACTAACCGACAAGTTTTCTCGCACTAGTTTCTTCGTCTCCTCGGGAATTTCTGCCCAAGACTCCCACTGCATAGGACAATTTTGTTTAATAACAACACCACAACTACTAGCGACGCTGTTATGCTGCTGTGAGGTAGCCGCTCCACGATGTCGCGGGTCATACTCAATCTTGATCCTGGAGCCGGTCAAACGTACGCTCTGTGCCTCCTTCAACATTCGACTAGGCCCCCTGGTGTTTTTTTTAGCTGGCCAAAAATAATTAAATGGTGAAATCCCTAAGCTTAAATTTACAGAAAATTTGACATAACCTCCCCTAATAGTATAGCATTTCCCAAAACCTTAAAATAGTAATTCACAACCCCCATCACATTGTCACATTCCAGCAAATTTTCACCATCATAAAAATAATAATTTTAAAATGATAAAAGAAAAATACAACGTAGTGATCGAGAATTAGAAAAAACTACCTGGCTGGGAGGCCTCACCCTCGACTCTGGATGCCGAGGAAGTGTGATCAGAAGGCTCCGGCTCGCGGCGGCGTCGGTGAGGCCGTCGTGCACTAAGGGGTGTAGGCTCCCCAATCAATGGAGCACTCACGCCTGGAGCAGTAGATGTTGATAATGCAGGAGGCTCATTGGTCACACTCCGACGACAATTGATCAACCGCGACATCTATACACTTTTTGAACCATAAAATTATAACATTAGACACTAATCCTTTCTTGCATTTGAAACTAATCAATTAGCAGCCAAAGTAGTAAGTAAGTAGGCTACCAACATTCTTAATTTCAAAACATGAGGAAACTACTTATCCATTTTCATAGCCAACAAAATAAAAGTGCATCAAGTACCGTACAAAAACAATTTACTTCATACAAGTCATTCAACTAGACACATGCCACAACAAATGAAAAGGTAATCTACTCACAAGTATAATTGTGCACATTCTTAACTAAGTTTACAACTCAAACACTCATTAATTATGTGGCAGTTAACTAAATGATATTTACTCATATAGCTTCAGCCTGAATTAGAAATATATAGAGCTAGTTGATTGCAATTAAAAGAGTGTAGAAGAAAAAAAATTGTGCCAAAAGCTTATTTGTTTTGTTCTGTTCGTATCTTTGTTAGTGCCAAAAGCTTATTTGTTTTGCAATTAAAATGAGAATTTGATGATGTTAGAGAAAATTTAAACATTCATAAAGCAAATTCAACAGACCCCAAATCATATCCAAATCAAGAAAGCAAAATGATATCCAGATTTCTCTAAACAATCGCAACTTGTTCTTTCCAACAGACAAATTGGGTGCAGAGGCAAAATTTTCAAAGCATAGCATAGAAAAGTACCTCCTTTAGAATTAAAGAAATTTGAAAGGCAGCAGAAGTTGAGTTCAATTGTTGCCGGCTTTGGAAAAGTTAAATACAGAAAGCGCTTTCTGCAGAAGTTCGAATCCAGTCCATTGTTCAACCATGTTGCAACTGCAAAACATAGATAGGAATCCCACAGCAGATTGACATGGAAAGTTTTTTATTTTAATGTGATACAAAAGAAAGTTTAATGCTTCAAAAACAGTGAGCACAGGAAAATGCTTATAATTAAAGGGTAAGAACAATGATTATAATGAGCAGGAGCCCTGCGTTATAATTAAAGCCTCGTGACTCTCGCTTTTGTCTAATCTAATTGTAGTTGTACCCTGCTTGTTTCTTCATAAGTATAGACATTATATAAAATGTTTTCTTGTTTCTCTTTCCTATTTTGTTTGCTTAGGGTATCATTGTCAAAACAAATTAACCAAATATTACCCACTGTCTATTTCGAGAAATTACAATTGTATCTAACAAAGAAAGAGAAAGATGGAGCCTTCACAAGGGTTGTGTACGTGAGGATCCATTCCCAGAAGGTCCCAAAAAGAATGTGACATTATTTCAAACATTATAATTAAAGGGTGAAGCTAATCATTATTTCAAACATTATAATTAAAGGGTGGAGCTAAGTATATGGTGATGTTCAGAAGAGAAAGGAACATAATTATCTAGGCTCGAGGCGACTGCAAGGGAATCCAAAGCGCGCGTGTTCAAGAATAGCTAGGGTTTTTTCAAATGACAGATGCAGCTGCTACACAAGCTTATATTCTAGCTGTTGTTAGGTTTTGACACAAGTGTGTACATGTACGTGTTGGTCAGCGCGCCTTCACTAGTCCCAACTACCAGGTCCTGCTTTCGAATCCCCGAAGTGTCCAGTAGTGTTTTTGTTTTCTGTTTTATTGGGTTTTATTTTATTTTCTTTCTTATTTTATTTTCTTTCTTGTTTTCTTTTTCCTTTTCTTTTCTTTCTTGTTTTCTGTTTTATTTTATTTTCTTTCTTATTTTATTTTCTTTCTTGTTTTCTTTTTCCTTTTCTTTTCTTTCTTGTTTTATGTTTTATTTTATTTTATTTTCTTGTTTCTCTTTCCTATTTTGTTTGCTTAGGGTATCATTGTCAAGGGTTGTGTACGTGAGGATCCATTCCCAGAAGGTCCCAAAAAGCTTAAGTGGGTAAAAAAAGATCAAGAAGAAAAAGAAAAATAGTTATATTTAAAGTTTGTATGTATGAAATAAAGAAGGACAAGAGGTAAGGGTTTTAGTCGAGTCTCCTTAGCTATGTTGATTCACTTTACACCGAAGGAAGTTCGTGAATTCTTTTCTAATTGATTCTAAATGGAGTGCTTTCTCGGTCTTCCTTTGTTGAATGCATGGGTTGATCTTGGTGATTCCACAGGCTTACTCTTGAACTGGGCTGGAGGATTCTTTTTGGTCTCCTCCACTCGTTGATTTTCCTTTGTGCTACTCTTGATCTGGGCTGGAGGATTCTTTTTGGTCTCCTCCACTCGTTGATTTTCCTTTGTGCTACTCTTGAACTGAGCAGCAGGATTCTTTTGGTCTCCCCCGAAGGTCTGAGCTTCCTCCTTTTTTTTCTATTTCTTTGTTCAATCTCTCCAATTCGTATTGAAGAGGGTTAGAGGATAGCTCAGCATATGCAGTTGTAGCTTGTCTCCACATGCTTCAATGTATCATTTTCACTTGCCTTACTTGCTCCCTTTTGCAGAAGTGGTCCCTTCTCTGGAAGTGTATCAACCGTTGAAGATGACTACTCGAGAGCAACGCTAGGTAAGCAATCAGGGAAGGGAAAGAGCATGATATGAGATACCTTTGCTTTCGCCCTTGATGATATGAGATACCTTTGCTTTCGAAAAAGCGGTGAATGAGTCAGCACATCTATTTGTTGTGCTGCTTCCTCCTGGGTCATCTGTACTCCAGGCATCTGGTATCATCTTTGGGGAAGAAGAAAGAATTGAATGTTTCAAAAGGATTTGCTGGGAGTGCGCCCTCAGAGGTGAGAAAGAGTTGGGCATTTTCTTCAGGTTTGCCTTGCCATAAAAGATGAAAGTTGACATATATAGGGATTTCCCTATATATGAGAGTGCGCCCTCAGATGTGAGAAAGTGGTGGTACTGTTCTTTTACCCTTGTCGACAAACGTTTTGATCCCGCAAATCCGGCTTTTTGGAATAGTGACGACTCTTCGATCTTTGAAGACGCCTCTTCGATCTTTGAAGACGCCTCTTCGATAAAGCTGCACGCGTTGAACGCGTTTTCTGAAAAGTCGATAAAGCTGCACGCGTTGAACGCGTTTTCTGAAAAGCAGATAAAGCTCCACGTGTTGAACGCGTTTTCTGAAAAGTCGAGGGAGCGTCTTCGAACTTTACGCATGAATCGGTGGACGCGTTGCCTTGGCTTTTTATAGAGCTATCGATCACCGCCAACTTACACACTCTGAAGATTTCCCATTCTTGAAACTCGTCTCCGGCCCTTTGAAAATCTACTCCGTCCACCCCTTCTCTTTTAACTTCTTGAAAAATGGCTAGCTCATCTAACCCATTGAACATTTGCTTAGATTTGAGTCTGAGCAATGATCCGGTTGTGCCTCATCAGGGTAAGGTATGGTGCCCGTCTTTCTTATCTTTTCATGGCCCTCTTACAGATGAGGACTCTGTGATGACGGATCCAACAACGGCTACGATAGTGGCTCGGAACCTCCTCACTCCCAAAGATAGTCAGCTGCTTTCTGGACGGTCCGATGAGTTGGCCGTTCAAGAGTCCTTGGCTCTTAGCGTTCAGTGCGCTGGCTCTGTGTCCAACATGGGCCAACGCCTTCTTGCTCGCTCCCGTCAAGTTGAATCCTTGATGGCGGAGGTGGAGAGTCTTAAGCAGGAGATCAAACAGCTGAAGTACGAGAACCGAAGTTTGCACGTGCTTGCCAACAATTATTCTACAGGCATGAAGAGGAAGCTTGATGAGCTTGATGACCGTCAAAGGCTTGCAGCTTTCTTCCAGAGGCACCTCTTTCCTGGGTCATCCAGCGTTCCACCAAGGGATTGGCAGCTTTCTTCCAGAGGCACCTCTTCGGTGCCTCCCGCTCATATGCCTCCCGCTCCGATGGCTCCTGCTCCGATGCCTCCTGCTCCGATGGCTCCTGCTCCAAGAGTGTTGCCACGTAGTGGGGCCTCACGTACACAACCCTTGTGAAGGCTCCATCTTTCTGCCATTTTTTTTTTTATTTTTTTTTTTATTTTTTTTTGTAATCACTCGGAAATCAATGAACAAGCTTTTTTCAATTATAAGGCTCAAGAACTATTTTGTGTGCACCATTCTTGATCTTCCTTGCTACGCCTACTTGGATGCGCCTTTGAGCTGAACCTTCTGCAGTCATATTATCAACTTACCAATATTAGGAAAGAATGCAGAAAAATTACACATTAAAATAAAACAAAACAACTTTAAGAAATATTAAAATAAGTTAGAAAAGATAAAGGGACGAAAACTCTATCTTCATAAAATAAAGTACATAAACAATAGAGGTAGAACCATTTACATGATGGTCCTAAAGCTGATGCAGGGGAAACCAATCAGAACTCTTGGAAATGAATTACAACAGAATATAATTCACAGGAGCAAGATGAGAACTTTGAAATTTTAAACAGAAAACAAATCTTTTTATCTACCAAATCCGAAAGACCAAACATAGTGTGTAAGCGAACGCATTTGCTTACATGTTATCTACCAAATTCGAAAAGAAAAATGCACATCTTATGAACATAATTTTTTCTTTGTTACAATGATAATCATAGTAAATCATCTTGCACGACGTTTGGCACTTTGCGCGACGAAGGAATGCGTCGCGCAAAGCTGTTTTGTACTTTGCGCGACGCATGCCTTCGTCGCGCAAAGGACATTTGCGCGACGTTGTATGCTTATCGTTGCGCAAACATACTTTGCGCGACGAAATTTCTTGCGTCGCGCAAAAAAATGTTTTTGTCACAATTGTATTAAAATCTATCATTTTGATAGGATACACATTCCACAAAACTAATTTCAACGATCCAACCATCAAACTTGTTTGTATATACTTCAAGATCTCATATGCCAAAAATCACAACAAACAAACATTTAGAGATCAAGTAACGCAACAAAACTTTTCGACGATTATAAACGAAAAATCACGATTTAACGGTTGTTTTAACTCCGATTTTGATGATTTTTTACAGCTACACTCCTTAACCCTATATGAATACAATGAACTAATTCGATCGTCCATTTAAAACATTTAGACAAGTAGATACCACAAAATCTTATGTTATACTTAATGGAAGTATAAATAAACTTCAAGTGTTAATGAATCTACTGTTTTGATGCGATACGCATTCTACAAAACTAGTTTCAACGATCCAACCGTCAAACTTGTTTGTATATGCTTCGAGATCGCATATGCCAAAAATCACAAAAAACAAACATTTAGATATCAAGTAACGAGACAAACCTTTTCGACGGCTATAAATGAAAAATAACAATTTAACGGTTATTTTAACTCCGATTGTGATGATTTTTTTTATAGCTACACTCCTTAACCCTATATGAATACAATGAACTAATTTGATCGTCCATTTAAAACATTTATACAAGTGGATACCACAAAATCTTATGTTATACTTAATGGAAGTATAAATAAACTTCAAGTGTTAATGAATCTACTGTTTTGATGCGATACGCATTCTACAAAACTAGTTTCAACGATCCAGCCGTCAAACTTGTTTGTATATGCTTCGAGATCGCATATGCCAAAAATCACAAAAAACAAACATTTAGATATCAAGTAACGAGACAAACCTTTTCGACGGCTATAAATGAAAAATAACAATTTAACGGTTATTTTAACTCCGATTGTGATGATTTTTTTTATAGCTACACTCCTTAACCCTATATGAATACAATGAACTAATTTGATCGTCCATTTAAAACATTTATACAAGTGGATACCACAAAATCTTATGTTATACTTAATGGAAGTATAAATAAACTTCAAGTGTTAATGAATCTACTGTTTTGATGCGATACGCATTCTACAAAACTAGTTTCAACGATCCAGCCGTCAAACTTGTTTGTATATGCTTCGAGATCGCATATGCCAAAAATCACAAAAAACAAACATTTAGATATCAAGTAACGAGACAAACCTTTTCGACGGCTATAAATGAAAAATAACAATTTAACGGTTATTTTAACTCCGATTTTGATGATTTTTTTTATAGCTACACTCCTTAACCCACATGAATACAATGAAGTAATTCGATCGTCCATTTAAAACATTTACACAAGTAGATACCACAAAATCTTATGTTATACCTAATGGAAGTATTAATAAACTCCAAGTGTTAGTGAATCTACTGTTTTGATGTGATACGCATTCTACGAAACTAGTTTTAACGATCCAACCGTCAAACTTGTTTGTATATGCTTCGAGATCGCATATGCCAAAAATCACAAAAAACAAACATTCAGAAATCAAGTAACGTGACAAAACTTTTCGACGGTTATTAACGAAAAAGTACTATTTAACGGTAGTTGTAACTCCGATTTTGATGATTTTTTAGAGCTACACTCTTTAACCTTATATAAATACAATGAAGTAATTCGATCGTCAATTTAAAACATTTACACAAGTAGATACCACAAAAGAAAAAGCAATACAAGAACCCAAAAAAAAAGCCAAAAAAAAAAAAAAAAGCACTTTGCGCGACGTGGATACACCTGCGTCGCGCAAAACAGGTTTGCGCGACGTAGGCGCACCTGCGTCGCGCAAAACATGTTTGCGCGACGTAGGCGCACCTGCGTCGCGCAAAGTTGGGAAAAAAAAAAGCGGTAAATCATTCTTTGTTTGGCGCCAAATCTTGCACGACGTTTGGCACTTTGCGCGACGAAGGAATGCGTCGCGCAAAGCTGTTTTGCACTTTGCGCGACGAAGGCATGCGTCGCGCAAAGCTGTTTTGGCGCCAAACGAATACTTCTTTACCGCTTTTTTTTCCCAACTTTGCGCGACGCAGGTGCACCTACGTCGTGCAAAGTGCCTTTTTTTTTTTTTTGGCTTTTCTTTTGTCCTTTTGTTTATGAGTACAAGATAAATAAATTAAAATATACTTTCTAAATATATATACCATTGAATTTGATGGGAAACACATTCTATGAAACTAGTTTCAACGATCAAACCGTCAAATGTTTGTATATACTCCGAGATCGCGTACGCCAAAAAATCTCAAAAAACAAACATTCAGAGATCAAGTAACGAGATAAAACTTTTCGACGGTTATAAACAAAAAAACACGATTTAACAATAGTTTTAACTCTGATTTTGATGATTTTTTAGAGCTAA